AGCATAGTTTGGCCATTAAAACGCTTTATGATTAGATTTCTAGCGAGAAGTATATATATTGTACTTTTAGAATCCACGTCCAGTCGTTATGTAGGATCTATAGTTTGATAGATATTACGAAGATGATTTGAGGTTTCATCAGGAGAACGTGTATATGCGGCAAGCTTCCATGTAAAGTTACGGGTTGAAAACAGTATTTCCGGTCTCGACGTTTTCATAATAAAACCAATGATCAAATGATTTAACAGTGATATCTGCAGTACTCATCCACTAAAAAACATCAGTTTATCCTAGTTAATTATACGACATTAATTGGTTTAAATTGTGTACAATGCTTTTGTGTTTTTCCCATAGGGTTTTCTCTTTCGATTCTGAGAGACACATTTCTTTTTTCAGAGGTTTTGATAGGCTAAAATCACGCCGCAATGCACGTCGGGATATGGTGTTTATGTGATATGAAATCGGAAAACTTTTTTTTTTTTAAATAATACTTTATTCCGAGTGTTCTTGCTTTTCTCTTTGAAAGTCATCACATAACGGCATTTTAATACACGGTTCGGCTGCATTAAATATTACATATCTGCCGTAGATAGCCTATGTATTTATAGAGCCCTGATCAGAAGACCTTTTGACAAACTGGAAGAGATGCCGCCAAAACTGAATACGTGACGTGGACCATAAAATATCAACAATTAAACAACATCTTCCATTTCTTTTCACACAATACGTCTCCTTGCAGTATCAACACTAATTCGGCTGACTTTTATATTTGATCCAATAAGTAGATAGTCTGTATTTACACCATAACGGTGCACAGCTGATAGAAAGGGATTTTTTTGTAGTTTTTAAAGATATTACTGATTTTCTGAACTACCTTTCCAACTCCTCATGCAGTTGACTGTTACAGGTCTATAAAAGTGTATGGTACAATGCATAAGCTTCACATTGAGAGACTGAAACTGTATTTTCCTTTACCGTTCTGTTTTAATTTCACAATAAAGTGAATAATCATATTATGTTTGATATTATTATGTTTTATTAACTAGACCACTGGTCTAAACCGTACCTCCTAGTGGTTAAAGCACGTTATTGAATTTAGTTGTTGAATAAGTTTAATTTGTATGAAAACATTTAAATATTAAGAGTAGCCTACATACAAAATAGGGGTCAATGATAGAAATATAGAATAGAAAATATCAAGAAGATACTGTAGTGATCTCTACAATAAAACAGTTTAGTGCAGGACGTCCAAAGATATTAACAGGTGGAAGTGCAAAACAGACAAACTGATAAGGCTGAATTTTACTCAGGTGTAACGAAAGTCTGATTTAAGGGTTGTTTATATTTCACATCATTAATCAGAATCTGCAAAGTAACAAAAATAAATGTAGTAGAGTAAAAATACCAGGTTAACCTCTGAATTGTAGTGGAGTAGAACAAAGTAGTACATGCTGCTGTAACAAAAACATTTCCCAAATTGGGATCAATAAAGTATCTTATCTTAAGATGATCGATGGCTACTGCCATATATGCTAAATGTGCATCTGAACCTTGACAAGTGCATGTTTCAGGCTTATCAATTAACAACAGGAGGGGTCACAGACATAAGACCAGCTGTTAAATAAAGCTCTTCTGACCTTAGCTGTCATGTGGGTATATTAATGCTGCCCATTATGGGCACAAGCAATTTTCACCCATGTATTAATTATATGTTTTAAATTTGATAACACCAATGTGTTTCGTATCCCCTAAACCTCCAGGGATGTATACAGTTTAATACTGGCAACTTCTAATTGTGGGAAATACGAAAACGTCTTATAAAACTACAATTCCCAGTAGAGACGTGCCATAGAACATATTGCGAAACACACAATAGCCAGCATGTGTAATTCTGTGGGGGAGGGCTGGGCTGGACCCGTCCAAGTCCAGTTTTGGATAGTCTGGCGTGGTTCCATTCCATTTCAAAGAGCTGTTTGACATTCGGCGTAACCTTGTCGCACTGCCACTCCAACATCCAATCACAGAGCTTGAGGGCTAATCACGGGGGTTGTAAAGCAAGGCGGATGTTGTAGTCCAAAACGATAGCTGGGGATTCTGGGTAGTGTAGTGTCTTCGGAAACTCTGTAGTGTCTAAACTCCGAAAAAACTATTTGTTTCTCCGAATCGAAGGTTAAAAACACAAAAGCATTGTACACAATTTAAACCAATCAATATTGTGTAATTAACAAGGATAAACTGATGTTTTTTAGTGGATGAGTAATGGAGATCATTTGACAGTGTGGGGAATACTTCCGGTTTTATTATGGAAACTTCGAGACCGGAAATACTGTTTTCACCCATGCTAACTTTACATGGAAGCTGCCCCATATACAGTACACGTTCTCCTGGCGAGACTTCAAATGATCTTCGTATATCTATCAAACTGTAGATCCTACACATACACTGGACGTAGATTATAAAAGTACAATATACACTTCTCGCTAGAAATCTAATAAAAAAGCATTTTAATGGCCAAACTATTCCACAATTTAGGATTTTCCAGAGGGTAATTTGTGAATAAACGACCCTCCGGAGCGTTTGCAATCGACAGGAGCATGTTGTTTCTTACACGACCACTAGAGGTGCTACACTTTAAAACGTGACTGGGTCGTATTTAGCTGCTGAACAATCGACCTATATGGTCGTTTTTTGTAGGAGGACAGGCTGGAGCTGGCAGGCGTCTATTGTTTAACAACATTATAAACACTGACACAGTTGCATCATAGTGATGTGCGGTTCTGTCGTTCTGTGCAGTTTATTGACCTACGTTCTGGTCAAGAGTTTGCTGAGGATTTCAGCTATATTTATAGCTTCTGTTGCCATTTTGTTTAAGTGGAGGGAGGCATGTTTTCATTTTCAAAGAGAGAAGTGCTTCCCAGAGAACAGTAATCATCTTGGTACAAGAGGAGAGAATTGTGTCATCCAGCTAAATTCTCTTGTGTGTATAGGATAGTTTAGTGGACAAAAACATTCAGAGTTGGTATGGATGGCTGTGTAATGTGCGGGGGAAATGCTGCTTTGGTTGTCAGTGCTGCTGCTTGTCTGTTTCACAATATGTGCTCACACAAGGACATAACTGATCCTCTGAGCCCCCGTACCCTATCTTCCAGTTGGCTACAGGCCAAACAATCTCTGCAGAGGTTCAGGGGACTCTGGAGAAGGATTGTGCTGATGGGCAGAGTTGCGACTAAGTCAAAGGTAGAAAAGAGATCTTCAGTTCATTCCCAACTTCATTGGCATGTTGGCTTTTTGTCTTGGAAAGCAGTTGCAATTGTGAACATCATGGAAACGACCAAAAACATTGATTTATAAAAGGACATAATGTTTGCTGTGGTTTTCTTCATTGCAGTGTGCATGGGTTAAGCAGTGTGTGGGTAGATGGGCTCTATGTGTGAACGATATAGGCTGGAGGGAATAGAGAGAAAAGGAAAATATAAAAAATACACGTAACAATGCTCTCATCACTGGCCTCATGAGCAGAGAAGGTACCGGGGTGTAACTGGAGCGGGGCATCGATAACAGCTGGGTCAGGACCAAATGTTAAATCTTTTTTTTCATCCCAGTTGTTTTTGTTCATTTGCTTGTTTTATCTTTTATTTAATGGCAATGTTAGCCCCCAACCAATCAGTAGGGGTCTTTTGAATGGGTCTGAAGAGCAGCTTTACATAAGTAGAAGAGCATATCAAAAAACAGGTCCTCTTATTCCAAGTCGCCCTAAACTAGTTCAGCCGCCTCAAGGGCCCAGCCCGAGGCAATGCATCCTCATTATTCAGCTGTGGTTAGATGAAAAGGAATTAACTGAATAATCTTTATTCAAAAGACTGATAACAGAGGAACATAGATCAAATCATTTATATCAAACATTAATAAATATAAATAAAATGAATAAATAAATAAATGTGTAGGAATACAAAGGGGAAAGATACCTGAATAAACTAAAATTGGTTGTTTGATGAGAGTGTGTTGTGTTTGTCTGAGTGTGGCCTAAACATGGAGATGCCTGTGTGTTTTTGTGTTTATTTGATAGTTGTATGAGGCGGACATATTATCCATGAATCAAAAATCTATTTTTTTTTTCTTCATTTATAAAATGTTTTTGATTTCCAGTTCAAAAGTTTAGTCTTCTTCGTGGCGATAAACAGGCTGGCGAGGGTAATATTAGCCGTAGTGCTGTGTTCTAACAATTTCCGAAGTCTTGTGTAAATGTTTATGACCCGGTGTTAAGTCTTTGTTTAGATGAACAGCATTGTAATCCTGTTCAACACAGTTCAGCAGAATTTCCATATGGCCTGGCTGTGTAGTCAAAGTCAACTTTATTGTCAATCTTTCAGTTTGTGTGTACAGACAGAGATCGAAATAAAGTTTCCCACAATCCCGAATACATAAACAAATATATACAAATATGTATATACCTATATACACACAATCAAAAGACACATATATACATATGCACATATTAAGACCTAAATAAAAGCACAACAATCAATATATACAACATAACAGTCATGTAATAGCCCTTTTTGCTTCAAAGATTTTTTATGATTTTATTTTACTCAGTAGTTTGCAATCGTTTTTTACTTGAGAGTAATAGAGAATATTCTCTACAAATGGACAGTGCTCTAAATCCCCTCTCATCCCTGCTCTTGTATGAGGAGCTAATACAAATACTGCTATGCTTCCTTGCTGACACACTTGTGTGCTATGACACTGCTCAAAGAAAGTCAGTTTGGGTCTTTCAACTGCTGTGACACTTGAAAGGCCATCGTTCCCACCCTGGGGCGTTCACGCTTTGCTTTTCATTCTGAATTGTGAGAGCTTTCAACTAAAAAATAAAAGGAATGGAAAATAATATGATATGCGTGATTGATCTCTCCTTGATTTCTATGATTAATGACACGACCCTGTGTGTCATCCTTTCGAAAAAATGATTTTCTATCTTATTTGCTTCTTCTGACCCACAGGATCAGCACGAAAGCACAGTGCCACTCATTGGTGTCTGCAGAATATCGCACAGGAATCAGTTGACAGCTCCGATGAGGAGTTCTTTGATGCCAGAGGTTAGTGTTACATTTTATTCCTCCATTTTATCCTGTCATCACCTTGTAGATTATCTGTCTCTCCAACAGCAGTCACAGAATGATGTGAAAGTGTGTATGAGCATTTTAAACTGACGTTTTTTATTCCATCAAGAGGGAATACTTTTGACTCGAGGAATTTAATGAAATTTAACAGGTAGTCATTTTCATGGATTCTGCTTTTTTTCCAAGTTTCTGGGATACATTTTGGCCCTGAGTGAGACGTATGGTTAACTGTTTCTTCAAGCATCTTTTAACTTCTTGTTTTAACCTTCAAAACCTACATTTATTGGAATAACCTTGTGTCAAAGCCACTTGAGTCTCATTTCAGATTATAGGAATCCATACGTTACAGGTTATTAATTCCTGTGGTGAAAAAGGACAGTTGGGTCTTGTTTTTAAAATTGGGGAAATTTCATGAACAAATCATAAGATTCAGCTAAATATAATGGCAATTTCTCTATGTTGTGGGTGGATGATATTTAAAGTATGTGAATGATTTGTTGTATCACTAAATTGAGTGAAAATCTGATTTCAGAACAAACCAGACACAATGTATAGCAAATGAATCTTCTGTTACCTTTCATCATGCCTAATCATGTTTAAATGATTTCACTGTCCAATTCTCTGCTACATCTTTTTTTAAATTGTATGCAAGATGTCAGACTGACCAGAAATAGACACACTTGATGACTTATTTTCCACTACTAGCCTTTTCACAGTCCCAAAGGGAGTTAATCAGCGAACAAGTGGAATATTTATCCCACCAATTATCCACTACAAGTGCTTTTCCCCGAGAGATACTTATCAATGATGTGTTATTATTGTAACATGTTCTTATTTTACATTAAGTCAGTCAATACTCAGGGGTATGTTGAGAGTTTCTGGTGTCCAACATTCCTCATGTCATATACAAGCTGAAAATGTCACGATCACAGGTACAGATCAGAACCCAATAGCACGACACAGATACAACCAGTGTTTTGCAATGTTCAGTTTATTCAGGTCTGGGACAGGCAGGGTCAAAACCAGGAAATCCGTCAGACAGGCAACCAAAACCAAACAGGGAGCAGGCAGGAACTCGAGATCCGAATACAGGCAGGCAGACAGGGGTCAAAAACCGGGCAGGACAAACATCTAGGCTAGAGAATAACACACACTGGAGAGCTTGGCGGAAACGACAAGACAATCTGGCAAAGGACAAGTGATAGTGAGGTGGTATAAATACTGTGGGGTGATGAGGGAATGAGTAACAGGTGAGGGGAAGGGCCGTGAAATATCTTTACTGAGTGTGCAGGAGCAGAGATCAAAGAAGGGCTTTATCTCTTTTAATTAAATAGCACGGGGAGAGGCTGCACTCTGGGGCTTTTTATGTCAGACAAAGGCTTATACATAATAAGATGTTTGTTATGTGTGTGGTTTTAATTCATGTTATTTAGTCCATAAAGCATAGTTGGACATTTTATGAAACACTCTTATTCTTTCTCTTGCCGTGGGAAAGATGAGACAGTCGATACCACTCAAGTTGAACAATAAATATGGAAATACAGCCAGCAGCAGGTTAGCTTAGCTTAGCATAACAACTGGACACAGGAAAAAAGTTAGCCTGTTTCTATCCAAATGTCATAGCAAATCCAGCTACCAGCATCTTTTTGTTTAATCCACAAAAAAGTGACATGTTTAAATGAAATGTGTTGCATCGCGACAGGCGATCAGCAGAAGTCATTGCATCCGGACCATTTTTAAAGTGTTGGTATGCATATTGTTGTTTCATATTTGTCATATTTGACATTTCATATTCATATTCATATTTGGTTGCAACCCGGTTGCAACCCAGTCTCACGGCATTTCGTGTTCACCAACACGATTTTTAATCTATTGATTCGTGTTCACCAACACGATTTGCCCCTTTTTTTCGTGTTGCACAGCACGATTTTAAAAGCAATGTATTTCTACTGCCTGCAGCACGTATTTTTCTCCGGTCGGGTCGTGGGAGACCGGAAGCTGTGTGGTTCATAAAAACATGTTGTTACTCAATATCAAGCCACTATTATTGCTTTTATTTTAAATCGTATAATTTCGGACTTTTGTTGCCGTCTGTGAGGAAAATAAATGGGGCTCAGAGCCTCAGAATACGGAAATCTTTATTTTAAAATATTTTTTTCCTTCTAATTCGTTATACTTTTCAAAATAACACACTGTTATTTACTCACCAATAACACACAATTATCCTTACTTTTATTTATTGGTTTAATTCCATAATCTCGGGCTTTTTTGGCGTCCGTCAGGAACTGATTTTCAAAATAAAAATAACCGGAAACAGACGTAGGCCTATAAGGGACATTTCGAGCATCATTGCGATTGTCAACATTTCTGATTTTAGGATGGCCGAAGACACTACACTACCCATAATCCCCAGCTATCGTTTAGGACTACAGTCCCCGTAAGGCAGTGGTTCTCAAAGTGGGGGGCGCGCCCCCCAGGGGGGCGCAGAGGCATGACAGGGGGGGCACGAGAGACCAGGAGGAAAAATGGTTATTAAAAAAAAAAGATTACAAAAAAAAAAATCATATTTTGAAAAATTATTGATTCGAAAGTAATATGATACAGTACAGTACTATTACGTCTGGGTCTCCGTGTTTCATTAAAGCTCCGCTCTGTGTGTGTGTGGAACGAGCCATTTTGTGTGTGTGCGTGAGCGAGAGAGAGAGAGCGCACCGGTACCGGAGATCGTTGTTGTTAGCTTCTGGTGCTAGCGAGCTACGCTAACGGATATAAGGAGTTTTTTCAACAACAAAGTGGAGGAGAGTCCTCTCCTGTCAGACTGAGAGACTCAGTGAGCTAAAGGACTCTCTCAGTGTTATCTCAGTGGGTCTCAAACGTTTTGGTCACCATTAATGTAAACAATTATTTCCGAGGCACACGTTTATATGATCATTATAGTTATAAAAAAATAAGAGAATAAATGAAAAACAGGTATGAAATACTATATGACAGTAAAACAAGAATAAAGTTTAAAAGGATGATTTGTAAAATATCTATAAAGAAAAAGTCAATCTGTTTACAGTTCTGTTTCAAATGGGTGTTGAGAGATGTATCCATAGATCTCTTCATTTTGCTCTCAAAGTGCACCAGATTGATGCTTTTAACTTCAATATTTAAAAATAAATCTTTCCGGGGGAGCTTGCCCCCGGACCCTCCTATGTGAGGTCCAAATACCACCTATACAAATAGCACGTTCACCCTGCTTACACCTATATGCCGTGAGCTGATTATCGAGCCTTCATTGTAACTGTCGTGGGGACATTGTGTATGTGCGTGGGGAGTGTTGCAGTAATAATAATAATAATAATAATACATTCGATTTATAAAGCACCTTTCATTGCTCACAGCAATCCCAAGGTGCTACAGGAGGCATAATAAAAACAAACAAAATAAATAAAAGTTTAATGAAAAGCTTTAAAGTAGAAAGTTCCACTGTAGTTCCACTGTAGCGCCCGGTACATTCATGGGAAACCCTAAATGTTTGAGCACCCTGAAACGTCAAGCTACCCCACAGCACCCCAAAATAAATCTCTGGCGCCGTCACTGAGCCTGACTATTTGTGTTGGGGGGGCCCGACTTTTTTTTTTCTCCAAAGGGGGGGCCTGACAGAAAAAGTTTGAGAACCACTGCCGTAAGGTTACGCAGAGCGTCAAACTACTGTGTGAAATGGAACGAAACCACGTCAGACTATCCAAAACTGGAATCGAACGCGCCCCCAGAACTACACATGCTGGCTATTGTGTTTCGCAAAATGTTCTATGGGACGTCTCTACTGAACGTTTTCGTTTTTCCCACAATTAGAAGTTGCCAGTATTAAACACATTGGTGTTATCAAATGTAAAACATATAATTAATACATGGGTGAAAATCGCTTGTGTCCATATTAATGCGCAGCATTAATACCCACATGACAGCTCATTGTTACTTTGTAATTCTACTCCACTACAATTCAGAGGTTAACCTGGTATTTTTACTCCACTGCATTTATTTGAGTTACTTTGCAGATTCTGATTAATTATGTGAAATATAAACAACCCTTAAATCAGACTTTAGTGACACCTGAGTAAAATTCAGGTAAGGTGATTGTCAAGTGCCAACAATCAAGAGAGATATTTGATAGTTGGTGCTTGAGAAGACTAAACATGTATCTGCAATTGACATGAATGGAAACGAGTAATAAAGTATATTCATTACTCGTTATTCTCTACTAATAGTTAATTAAAGACTGTATATTATGGCTATTTTGCACATCCCTTTCAAGATTTTCAAAGGTTTATTGACATATCATATACACAACTACGGTGTAGTTATGCAATGAATGAAACACTTGTGTCACAGGTTCCTCAACAGTGCATTACAAGACATCTATCAATATGTGTGTACCTCCACCATTAAACTGTCATATTCTGCACATTTCTTATTCTATCTACATACATAAGAGTATAATTCATATGTATAATATCAGTTAAAATAAGTGCTTCAACATAGTTAACATTGCAGGAAAGCAATATATTAGACGTTAAGTACTTTGTCAGGCTTAATATTTATCTGTAGATAGATACCCCCAAAGTTTTTTTCTTATTTAAAAGAAGACCTTAATCTGTTATTTAATGTTTAAATAAAGATTAATTCGTTTTTCTGTTTTGCACCTCCTCCTATTAATATCTTTGTACATTCTGCACTAAACTGTTTTATTGTAGAGATCACTTATAGTATCTTCTTGATTTTTTATATTCTATATTTATACTTTCCCCCTATGAAAGTATGTACTCTTAATATTTTTTTAATCAAATAAAACACAATAATTCAATAACGTGCTTTAACCACTAGGAGGTGCACACAAGGTACACACAGCCATAATAACTTTGCATTATTAGTGTAGGACACTTTTGTTTTCGTACAACATCTGAAGATGTGTAGTTTTATGCATGCTTTTT